ATGATCGACTCTGCAAAATGTTCCCTTGGAATTAAAAGCTTATCCAATGGAATCTCTCGCTTTTTTGCGGCTGTCGAGTAAACCCTGTTATTTTGGGTAGATATTTTCGGTTGGCGTAAAAAAAAAAAACTTTTTCGTTGAGATACCTTCCCTGCTACGAAATCTTCTCAGAAGGTGTTGGCATCTTGAAAGCCTTTTTCTTTCATTTTTTGCACTCAATTTTTGGCAATACACTTTTTTTTGTATACCTTAAGGTTGAGATCACTTTAAAATTCTTCACACTGCCGTTAGCTTTATTCTTGTGATTCTTGAAATTTTTCTGGAACTCATCACATTTGGTGGATTAATATTTTCGACAATTTGCCGAACCCTTAAAATATTTTCTCGACAACGTCCACTTCTTCTCCTACCACGACCCACCTTAATTTGAATTGTTTCATTTTCGCGATAATGTTTAAAAAAATAGCTTACGGTACTTAAGCTCCAGTTTTTTTCTGGAAACATTTTAAGAATTTTTCGTGTACCCATATTCTTTTCCATTACCTCTTTAATTAAAATTTTATCTTCCAACGATAGGACCATGTTTACTTATTTTAAATTAAACATATTACTAAAATGTCAAAAATTTGACAATTGGTTAATTCCAAAGCAATCTGGATTAAAGTAATATAAAATTTCCTATTTGAATTGTAAGCTAAAAAAATTAAAATTTCTCAGGTTTTGGTTCTAAAATATCGATATTTTCAGGATTTGTTTTCCCATAAATGAACTTCTAGAAAAAAAAAATCGGTCTGTAAGTAGCCGTTAGCGCAGTTCGTTTTTGCAACGAACTTAAATGCACCGATTTAATGAAATCGTCGTAAGTCCGGTCCCGACCTGAAATGGTCTAATTAATGTTAAGGTGAAAACAAAAACATATTGACTAATATCATATCCAAAAATCATTAAAATTCATAAACAGACAAAAAAGTTATTAATGGTCAAATTATGTTCCAACTTAATTTGGCCCACAGTGTATATAATATTTTTTCAAAGTTTTATAAATATCGAATTTTGCATGGAGCCAAATTCAATATATTTATTTTTTTCAAAGTTTTATATATATCGAACTTTGCATGGTGCTAAATTCGATATAGGTATATATTATTTTTTTATTTTAAATATATGCAAAATGCTGGTCATTTTTATCTATATATTGTTTTTCCTGCAAAATATTTTATATATAAGACGAAATAATTATGGAACATATGGCGCCCCATACTTTTTTGACAATAATTTCAATATTTTTTGTTCATTAATATTTTCTGTTTATATTAAAAATTATTTTTCACTTTTTAGTTCAATTTACTATAAAAGCGTGTTTTTTAGTTTTTTTAAAATGCATATATTTATTTTTCACTTTTTAGTTCGATGTATTAAAAGCGTGTCAGCCCCAGAGATTTCCAGACTTTTCTAGACATTATCCAGACTTATTCAGAGCTTTCCAGAGTTTTCCAGATTTCATCCAGATTTATCCAGACTTGTACAGACTGATCCGGATTGTAGAAAATGATTCCCAGGTCTTTTGGAACCTTTTTCAGAATTTTTCCGACCCTTTCCAGAAATTCCCAGGCATTTTCCAGACGTTTCCAGAGATTTCCAGACATTATCCAGACTTATCCAGAGTTTTCCAGACTTTATCCAGATAAATTTAGACTTGTTCAGACTGATCCGGATTCTGGAAAATGATCCCCAGGTCTTTTAAGACCTTTTTCAGAATTTATCCAACCCTTTCCAGAAATTTCCAAGTCTTTTTCAGACGTTTCCAGACAATATCCAGAGTTCAGACAATATCCAGACTTATCCAGAGTTTTACAGACTTTATCCAGATTTATCCAGACCTTATCCAGACTTGTACAGACTGATCGGGATTCTGGAAAATGATCCCCAGGTCTTTTGGGACCTTTGGCAGAATTTTTCCAACCCTTTCCAAAAATTTCCAAGTCTTTTCCAGACGTTTCCAGAAATTTCCAAAGTTTTCCAGACTTCATCCAGATTAATCCAGACTTGTTCAGACTGATCCGGATTCTGGAAAATGATCCCCAGGTCTTTTGGAACCTTTTTCAGATTTTTTCCAACCCTTTCCAAAAATTTACAAGTCTTTTCCAGACGTTTCCAGAAATTTCCAGACAATAACCAGACTTATCCAGAGTTTTCCAGAGTTTTACAGACTTTATCCAGATTTATCCAGACTTGTACAGACTGATCCGGATTGTGGATAATGATCCCCAGGTCTTATGGGACCTTTGGCAGAATTTTTCCGACCCTTTCCCGAAATTTCCAGGCTCTTTCCAGACGTTTCCAGAGATTTCCTGACTTTTTCAGACTTCATCCAGTCTTATCCAGACTTGCTCCAGCTCACTTGGCTTGTTCCAGGTTCTTGTTTTGTGTTGTGTGTTAATATAAGCATGTTAAAAAAGTGTTGCTTTTTCGTTTCGTTTCATCGGGTCGCTTTTTCGTTTCATCGAGTCTCAAATCACTCCCAACGATTCTAAAGAAGTTTTCACTTCAAAAATGACCACTCAACATTCCCTATCTCACGCAGAGCATAATTTTGTTTTAGTTTATATATTTTCTATTTATACAGCAAATTAGACGTAGCAACTAGGTATTCAGTAGGTCAGTAGCAACAGCAACTGTATTATTTTATGAATGTCTATTATATGATTTATTGTAACTTTTGTTTTTTTTACATATCATCTAATATGTCGATGTAAAAAATTCTAAAACCGCCGCGCCAGTTAGTCTATTATCTTACAAGGTAAAATCACAGAAAATATTAAATGCCCGAGAACATCGCGCAACGCTGTATATAAATTATTTCAATTTATAACACCGGAGCAGCGGAGCAGCGCCTCTAGCGGTCTGCCGTCGCCCATAAGCGTAGGTTTTCTATAGTTAACTATAATATTCTTTGCTAAAACTAATCTTTTTTTTTCCTCGTTTATTTTGTTGACTTCTCCTTTTAGTAGCAATACGGGAATGTTGTGGACGTTTTCTTTGTTTTCTTCTGTTTGTTTTTCGTGACTTTTTTTTTTGTTACCAGCAGCAGCACTAGTCATTATTACCTCTACTTATATTGAAGGCTTACACAAGACTAAGGAAAATGTAGTTAAATTGGAATTTTTATCTAATATTTTTTTTGTTTTTTGAAGGTTTCATCATCATCATCATCATCATTATCGAATTTCCTTTTATTATTGTTATCTAATTGGTTTGTTTCCATTTTTAACAATTTTGATGGAATATCGGTGGTGGTGGTGGAAGTGTGATCAATTTTCCTTTTTTTAGGTAATTTTATAATTTTCCTTCTTTTGATTTTAAAACCATCCAATTGTGTTATAGATTCATCATTTTCAAGTTTACGTTTTTGGGTTTTTGTATTAATTATTTTTCTTTTTTTCACTTCCTCCTCTTCTGGTTTAAATCCATCAACATCAACATCATCATCATCATTATCAAGAAATTTACGTTTTACTGCACGCTTATTTATTTTTGGTTTAAGATCAACTCTTTTAACAATTTTATTTTTTTGTGTTTTTTTTATTGCTGCTTTTTTTGAGTGGTCTGTTATTTGTTTCTCTAGCCAATCTAAAGAGTTCAAATAATTTCGTGTCATTTTCATACCACGGTGAATTAGATTTAAACATTTTCGCTGGATTTTCGAACGCGGTTCTTTAGCACTTACACCATGATCATGAGCAACATCGAGACCCATACCTAATTTAACTTTTGTGTGAATGGCTGCAGCTACTCCTGTGGCTGCTACTTTTTCTGATAACGCTGCATTTTTTGCATTTATTCTCTCCAAAGCCCTCCTCAACAATATCTTATCAGCCTCGTGACGTTCATCCAAAAGTTCATTTTTTGAGTATGCTATATCGTGTTCCTTACATGCCTCATCCAACTGATTAACACCCTTGTCACCTCTGACCAAACGTTTTTGTAGCTTTGTTCCAGGACCGCAGTAGTTGTAACCAGGTAAGTGTAGTTCAAAGGGCAATCTATTAATAGCACTGTTTAGTAATCCCTCACCGGTATAACGATTGGAATTATTCACATAGTAGTTCATGTTTTATCAACAAAACACAATTTAAAACTAAATAAAAATTGTGATTTCACCAGAGCTTTATACATTTCACGAGTGAATGTTGACCAATTAGGTACCTACGTTTTATTATTTTTTTAAGTTAGTGAGAAAATGAAAAAAATCGTGAAACAAAAAATTCGTTTGGAAGTGGATAACCACGATGATGATGTCAAAAGCAACAACATATCTTCAAAACATGGCAAACTGCTACCTCATAGTATTAGAGGTCTAATAGTTGGACCGTCGAATTGTGGTAAAACCAATGTAATGCTTACCCTTCTGGAACATCCCAATGGTGTGAAATTTGAAAATGTCTACCTGTACTCGAAGAGTTTGTATCAACCAAAATATTTATATTTGGAGGAACGTTTCAAACCAATCAAAGGAATTGGATATTTTTCCTATAGTACTGGAGATGACATTATTGCACCATCTGATGCAAAACCAAATTCTGTATTTATATTTGACGATGTGGCAGGTGACAAGCAGAATGTGATTCGTGATTATTTCAGTATGGGTCGTCATAACAACATTGAATGTTTCTATCTCTCTCAAACTTATGCTAAAATTCCCAAACATTTGATAAGAGACAATGCAAATGTCATTATCATATTTAAGCAAGATGATTTGAATTTGAAACATGTATATACTGATCACGTGGGTACCGACATGTCTTTTGAGGATTTTAAAAGTATTTGCTCGCACTGCTGGAGAAAACAGTACGATTTTCTATCAATTTTCAAAGATAGTAATATTGATAATGGGAGATATCGTAATCGATTTGACAATTACATATATCTATAGATGCATCAGCTACTATTTTTTATTTGTATAGTAAAAGTGTTGAGCATACCACGTAGAAGATTAAAAAATGTTTGAGAAAACCAATAAAAGTGATAAAGTATTGAAAAAGAAATTAATTTTGAAAAGAAAAATTATTCGCGAAAAATTAAATTTGTTGAAACAAGGACAAATACTACAAGAAAATCTATTTCAACCCATCACGAAACACTTGACGAATATTGAAACTCAATTGGATAAAAATCAAAATCTGGCACAACAACAACAAGAAAAGACAACAATCGCAATACCAACAACGAAAAAATTGAAAAAGGAACAGGATGAAGAAGATAATTACGATTATGAAGAAGATGACGTATTCAAAAAAGTAAATTCAGAATTGTATGAGCCTACACCACGATCCTTGGTTGCTGCTGCTGCTGATGACACCCCACGTGTTGGTAAAACAACAAAAATCAAACGGAAATTACCTTTCACACAAATTAGTGATAAAAAAACAAAAAAATCAGATCAACCACAACATAGTTATAATTTAAGAAGGTTACTGCTCAGGGACAATGTTGAAAAATATGCTACAGATGAAGAGGAAGCTAGAAAACAAAAGGATTTTAATGAAAGTCGTCAAAATGAATTTTTAAACCTGTCACAAACTGAATATTTGGATCAATTTGATCCATTGCCGGCAAAATATATACAAGAATTTATAAATGACCCTGCTACTGATCCAGCGTTAGAGGGAAATGTTTTACCTAAATATCGTATAAGACGTGATGAAATTGATAATTTCTACATTGGTGATTCCAAAGTTGAAATCGTTGGATCTGATTTAATAGTGAAAGGAAGAAGATACAAAGGAACCCCCGGACTGTATAAATTACTGTTCAGAAAAAATATGCCTAAAAGTTATACGAAGGATGATGAAGCTGCTTTCAAGGACATTATCTCAAGAACCAATATAAATAGAAAAAGGTTCAAGACCACTGGAGATGAAAATGACAGCCAATCTGAAAAATTCAAACTACTTTTCGAACCTTTAACAACTACTGGAAATGGCATGGTTGCATCATCAGCAGAAATGAAATATTCCAACAATTCGATTGATTACATCTACTGGGATGATCCAAATGAACTTGTCGAACGCTTACAACTGTTACTTGCTTCCCAAACGGCAGGCAATACAAACCATAACAACGAGATCAACGCAATTGTGGAAGAGTTACGAGAAGCAAACATTGTTGAATAATAATAAAATGGGTAAATTTAGTGTTACTGATGTTAAGCGACAAGTTGTTAACGAGATACATAAACCTGCAAGAATCAACTTCCCTAGACGTAAAGTGATTATAAAATCTTTAAATGACTTATTTCAAGCTGACCTAGTTGAAATGATTCCATATGCAAATACAAACAGTGGTTTCAAGTATATTCTGGTTGTTATCAATTGTTTTTCAAAATATGTTTGGGCTTTACCTCTCAAATCCAAAACAGCAAGTGAAGTTTCAAAAGCGATGGGAAAAGTTTTCAAGGAACAGATACCGGTACATTTACAAACAGACTTTGGTACTGAATTTTACAACTCTTCAATGAAGAAACTATTGGACAAATATCACATTAAGCACTATAGCAGTTTTAGTGAGAAAAAGGCACAAATTGTGGAACGAGTTAATAGAACTTTGAAAAATTTCATGTGGAAGGAATTCAATTATCAAGGATCATATAAGTGGATAGACATACTGCCTAGAATAGTAAAATTTTATAACAATAGAATACACAGGACAATTGGTATGAAACCTGTCGAGGTTAGAAAACGGCACGAGAAACTTCTCTTGGATACAGTTTACAATAGAATCAAGATCGCCTCTAAGCCAAAATTCAATATTGGTGATCAAGTTCGTATATCGAAAACTCGTGGTGTATTTGATAAAAAATATACAGCAAACTGGTCTACAGAAATTTTCAGCATAAAAAAAATTCAGCTGACAAACCCAACAACATATCTATTAGAGGATTTCAACAAACAGGAAATTAGGGGAGGATTCTATGAACTTCAATTACAAAAAGATAAAAATCCAGACATTTACCTAGTTGAGAAAATTCTAAGACGTTCGAAAAATAAGGTGTTTGTGAAATGGCTTGGGTTTGATAGTAAGCACAACAGCTGGATAGATAAAAATAATGTTGCGTAACTGATAAGCATCAATAAAAAGCAGTTTTTTTCCTCAAATTGGCCATTATAGTTTTTTCCTTCAAAGAGTAAGCAAGTTCAAAAAAATAAATAAAAATGAATAGTGATTGTGCTCCATCAATAAGAACTGTATGGAACGACATATCGAAATCACCAGTTTTAACTGAAAAGTTTATAACCTATTATCAACGAGAGATCAACTGGGATCTCATCAGTACTTACCAAACTTTACAAGAAGATTTCATCAGGATGTTTCTTACAAAAGTTAATTAGACACTTATATCAAGGTACCAACAGTTGAGTGAGTCCTTTATTGAAGAATTTAAAACGGCGGTCCATTGGCCTTTCATATCCAAATACCAAGTTTTATCTCAGAAATTTATTCGAAAACATGCCACATTAGTAAAATGGTATGAAATTATCAAACACCAAAAGTGTATAACAGCAGAGTTTCTTTTTGAAATGAAACATTACGTGGATAGAGATCGTACTGTTCACAATGCCAATACCCATCAAGTACACATGCCCCAGATGTAAGGGTGAAACTGATATACCCAATCGACCTTGTATTCCTTGCAGCTGGGATATTGAATATTCAAAATATATAGGAGGAAAAAAGATACAGACCTACTTTTTTGAAAATCTATAAATAAACCTAATTTTTCTAGTTATATGTCTAATAAATCGATTATCAATTCGTACACTTTGTGTTTTACTGTCACCTATGTTCCTATCTACCTATATACAAAATTTTCAATAGTATATAAATCAACCACTTTTAACATTAATCTCAGTGATATTCAAACTACCGCATTGACCAGTACCTACCTACCTACATAAAAATGCATTATTGCTATGAATTAACTCCAGTGAATTGTAAAACTTGTTCTGTGGTAGATTTTATTAGACATAATAATGTGAGGAAAAGCATTGCTTCATATACTTGTGATATCTGCAGAAACGCAAGTAGAGGAAAAAAGATGACAAAACCTTTAAAGGGTGCAAAAGTGAGGATTGGTTAAATTATCGTCTACATTGAACTGCAACCACAAACAACATGGAAGACTTTTGATTTTTTTAATGTAAACGCAAATTTTCTTTTTAATAAAACTCTTACACCTATTTTTTGTTTGTTTTTTACTGATTCCCTCTAAACTGGGCTGGGCTAGGCGAGGCTAGGCTATAAGAATTTAAACAAAATTCAACGAGACCAATGTGCACAACATTAGATTAGGTTAGGCCAGCCTAATAGGTACCTATTCAATTTAAAGTAATTTTTTCATTTCAAATTTTACAAGTCTGATCATACTACCAAACATTTTGATACTTACAAACAAGATCTATCCGTGGTCTGGTGGTTAACGCTCTTGGTTCTTGAGCCAGTGGTCCGACTGGTCAACGGTTCGATTCCACACACAGACACAAGACTTTTTTTTCTTTCAAATTTTACAAGTCTGTGATCATGGCACCAAACATTTTGATACTTACAAACAAGTTCTATTGTGGTCTCGTGGTTAGCGCTCTTGGTTTGGTGCGACTGGTCAACGGTTCGATTCCACACACAGACACAAGACTTTTTTTCATTTTATTCCATTTTAATTCATCACACAGGTGAGTGATGTGACAAGTTTCAGGTGACACCGACAGGAGAAAAAAAAAATGGAAGGTAAAAAAATAAACTTTTAAAATAAGGTGAGGGGAGGATTGGTGAGGGTGGTAAGTAGTGCCCCTTGGGGTTAGGGTAGTAGGTAGTGCCCCTTGGGTTAGGGGTAGTTGACAAGGGGGTAGGTGTCCCAGTATCCCGCGCCTTATACTACTAACAACATTTTTTAATAGTAACCCTCAAATTTATACCGCTTCTAGGAGAGGTCAAGGAAGATTTATGAGGAACTCTATGAGAGGTTCTTCTCAAAATAGAGGTTCTTATTCGAAAAATAACTATTCCAATAGAAATACAAATTTTGCAAACCGCCCTAATATAAATTTTAATAATGCAAATCGGAATAATAATAATGGGAATTTTCAACACAGTCAACGTTTTCAAAGAAATTCTCTTGGCGGGTTCAACAATCGCGGAACCCGTACTAATCGTTTTTCTGGGTCAGATAGGCGACATAACATAAATGTTATTGAGAGTAACTTAGGTAATGGTCAGGATGAAAACTTGCAAGCTAGCACGTCGAGGGCGAATAACCTAATACCTACGACTTCTATGGAGAATAATTTTTTTCGTCCCTAACAGGAAAAATAGAAATGAAATATTTACGTATTCGGATAATTTTACAAACACCGTCAATTTCATTATCTTTAATAAAAACGTAAAATTTTTGGTCGACACAGGAGCTTCATTGTGCGCAATAAAATCAAATGTTTTAAATTCAAATTCACGAGTGTATAATGACAATGTAGAAATAAAAGGAGTCGGAGGAACTATAACCTCACCAGGTTATGTTTATCTAAAATTGAAAGTTGGAAATATATCTTTTGAAGAAAAATTTTACGTTTTTACGTCACTTACTTGTTCTAGCGATGCAATAATTGGCGAGAATTTTTTAAGAAAATATAATGGTATCCTAAACTACGAAGAAAATACATTATCTTTAACAAATTTTGAAGATACCATAATTTTACCTTTTAACTCTAATAGCAATGATAATGTGTTAATGTTATCTCCAAGATGTGAAACAATTTGTCATGTTTCGGTTGGTATAACAGAGGATTGTGTGGTTATACCAAGCGAATTATGCCAAGGTGTTTTTATAGCAGGTATGATTGTAAGACCTGAACAAGGAAAAATACCAGTAAAAATTTTAAATACTCGGGAAACTGATGTTTGCTTGAAAAATTGTATCCCTAAAACAAAAAGGTTAAGCTGTTATGAATTCTATCAATTTTCAAAGTCGGACATATCGGTGGCTCGTGTGAAAACATTATTTGAACTACTAAAATTGAACTATTTAGACCCGAAAGAGCAAAATTCAATCGAAAATATTTGTGCTAAATATGCAGATATTTTTCACATGCCAGACGATAAGTTAACTGTCACTAATATCTATAAAGAATCAATTCAGTTAAAAAAAAACGCTACACCCTCCTATGTAAAACCATACAGATTGCCTTTTTCGCAAAAATATGAGATACATAAGACAGTCTCGAAAATGTATGAGGATGACATCATTGAAAGAGCACAGAGTGAATGGTCTTCTCCGGTTCTGTTAGTCCCAAAAAAAGGTTTGACTGAGGATTCAACAAGATTAGTTGTAGATTATAGATTAGTTAATCAACAAATTCGCGACCAAAAATTTCCACTTCCAAATATTACCGATATTTTTGATTCCCTTGCAGGAGCTATATATTTCTCACATTTGGATCTTAGTCAGGGATATTATCAGGTAGAGCTAACTGAAGAAAGTAGAAAGTACACAGCATTTACTACTGATCGGGGCCAATGGCAAATGAAAAGGTTGCCAATGGGATTGAAAATTAGTCCAAGCGCATTCTCGAGGCTTATGACAGTTGCTATGTCGGGACTAAATTACGAAAAATGTTTTGTTTATCTCGACGACTTAATAGTTTTTGGAAGAAATCTCGTAGACCATAATAAAAATTTAATTGCTGTTTTCAACAGGCTTCGTGAAGTCAATTTAAAATTAAATCCCTCAAAATGTGAATTTTTGAAAAAACAAATCCTTTACCTTGGACATGTTATTTCAGAAAATGGAATTTTGCCCGACAATAGTAAAGTTAAAGCTCTTCAAAATTATCCCAGGCCAACAAATGCAAATGAATTAAAGAGATTTGTAGCTTTCGCAAACTACTACAGAAAATTTATTCCAAATTTTGCAGAAAAAACTGTACCATTAAAAAAACTTTGTAAAAAATATGTTATTTTTGAATGGACTCATGAATGCGAAAAATCATTTTTATTTCTCAAGAATGCTCTTATTAATCCTCCAGTTCTAGACTACCCAGACTTTTCAGATAAAAGCGAATTCATTCTTCGAACTGATGCTTCTAATATTGCCATCGG